AACCCCATCTCCTGAAGTGGAAGAAACCCCAGGAGCTGCGGCGAGAGAAAACCCCTCCTGAAAGTAGAAGAAACCCCAAGGAAGCTGGCGGTTAGAAAAACCCCATCTCCTGAAGTGGAAGAAACCCCAGGAGCCGCCGTAGAGGAAACCCCATCAGCTGATATGGAAGAAACCTCGGGAGCTCTCGCAGATACGAAACCGGCAGCTGAGACAGAGAAGACAGCAGAAACAAAAACAGATCCTCAGCCAGCCTTGGAATAGAGCCGCGATACACCTGTGCGAATTGTAACCGAAACACAATCTTAACCTTAGATTCTGATAGGCATGATATAATACATGTATGATTGTTGTTACAGTAAGATCCACTATAATGGTACCAATTGTTTAACTCTAGTAATAGTGCTTGAATATCAGTCTAGATCGTGCCATACAAATATCCTTAAAACTAATGAATTACTGCTGACTTCATGAAGCATTTGTATCTTATAATCTAAACTGAAATATACTTATATACTATAGTTAAATATTCTTAATTAGAACATAGAACTAGACTGTAAACTGTCATGCCCATTTATACCTTAGCAAATAAGGATATAAGTTCTCAGGGGAAGTGTAAAACCAGTCAGTCTGCCAGCTTCAGTATATTCCTAACCATAATTGGATACATAGCATATCAGTTTATTTTGAATTGGCTTTAACCTCAGCAAAAATGCTGTAGATGAATACATAGAATATGTCATTTTCCCTATTATCATTACTCCCCAAATTATGACCACGCTTCGCCAATTTTATAGTTGTCTTGATGCCAAAGTGTCTTTATTGCAGGTGATTGCAATGTAGTTAGAAGTAGGTAATAAAGAAGTGCCTGTCCATATTGCATAAAATGCTATAGATAAAGTTTTAATGCATTTGGATAGCATAACCATCAGTGTGTATATCTTCTTTCTATATAAACGTCTTTAAACCCTGCTATAGTCAAGATTTTAAATTTATTTAGCCATTTCTTCATTTATGTAGTTGTTACTTTATTATTAGAAAAACTGTCTGTGATTGTGGGTTGTGCTTTTATTATTATTATTATCATATTTTGTTTCCGCATTTGTCTTACAAAATACTTGAAAAAAATATAGAACGCTATGATTTCTTTCTTGAAAATAGATCTTGCATTTGGACCCAGGTAGCTGTACATTGTTTTGGAGTGTATGTGCATACCCACAAAGTCTAAGCACAACGCTACATAGATATACACAGGAAGGGTATACGTGTATGCGCAAATGTGTATTTAACCTGATAGAATTGGCAACAACTTTCTGGCTTCTGTGTGTACCAAAGTTAAAACTCTGTCCTTAAACTTTTTCTTATGCCAGGTGTTGTGTGCCATTTATATTGTATATTTTTTGCATTTACTACCGATTGCATTGTATGTCATTATGTATGTTCTGATGTAACATAATAAAAGCGTAGTTGCAGTTTTTATTTAATTTCGGCCATTTCGGTATATCTTTACTTATAAGGAACATGTAAAATAGTATTTTTTATAGTAATGATAATGAAAGAAGTAGTAATATCAATTCTAATAACAAACCTTTCGAATTTAGCACATTTATTTATGAGTTTTATGTGTATGTGGACAATATGTTTCAGTGGGTGTATTCAGATTTTACGTGGGAATAAAAATGTGAAACAATTTTATATACGTGATCACAGGAACCACATCTCAGTCACATATACCTGGTTTTATATACCGTCTGTGAAAGAAATTTCCCTACTAATTGATTTTCAGTCTACTGCACAATAATATTTTGCACATTATTTTACATTTCCGTTTATAGTTCCTTGTATAAGAATTTGTTATCAAAACACCAGTAATGTTTTTTTTTATGATGAGCGAAGCATATACGAATAAAGAATCAACTCGAATACTTTTGTACAACTGCGAAGAAAAAAACCCTTTATCCCTGAAATCTGAAGTTCCGACCACCACTTGACAAAATATTGTGATCTATATAACTATATATATCTTATTTCGACCTTGCGTACACCGTTCACTACCTTCGTTAAAGTACGGAATGACACAGGGACGTTACAGAAACTTCTTGAAGCAAATGTACTTCAGATTATACAATTTTCTGGTTACTTTATATCTGAAAGCATAAACTGTATACACTTGCTGTTTACTTTTATCATACTGTCATTTCAGCATTAATCCTTCGATCCCATTAGAAATAAAGTAGTTTTTAACAAAACTGACGCTACGTGAATATCATTGATGATTTTCATATGTAAATAACCTATGACTACGAAGGGTAGGCCAAGATTTGCACCTCTATCACACACTTAAAAACCTTTCGCAACGTCAGTGTAAACACGCCACATCTCGGCTACCTCACCACAACAAATTTTGAGTTTTTCATATAACTGAACATTCTCTTCTTAAGGAAGGTTTTACGTGTATTTATTCAGGACTGATTTGAAGAACAGATAAAGGAAAAAAATATGT